CAACAATAATGGCAAGAAAAAATAAATATGCTAAAACTGGCACATACCAAAGCTTTGCAAAAACTTTAACAAATATAGATCTGGATTCTGGCTTTTCCCCCAAGACCCATAATGCAAAGCTTTCTCGATTTCGCAGAATAAGACTTAGCATTATAAAAATTGCTATAAAAGCGAGAAGGGTTGATATACCTCGTCCAGCACTAAACGACGCTTGCTGGTTAACGATCGGCACAAACATTAATTGACCATAGCCAATAAGAGTTGCGATACTCCCCATCCAAAAGGACAAATTCTGCGCAGATGCGTCAGACATTGGAACGAAGCGCAACTCTTGAGTGGTTGGAGATAGGATTGCACGCACCAAAACTTTTACGAGACCAACAATCAAGAAAGCATTTAAGTACAATGATTGTCGCACCCCCATCACCCCCGGATCTCCGTGCAGGTACAGTGCCGCAAAATACCCAAATCCCCATGACAAGATTACAACAAGCGCATCAATGATAACTGTCGCAATAAAGATCGCCACAGTTCCAATGATATCTAGATCTTTCGACTGAGAACCAAACTTTCTATAAGCTCTCTTAGAAAGCTTGCGCAGGAAAAAATAACTCACCAAAGTGGAGATTAAAACAACCGCCAGTGCAATCAGGGCATCACCAAGTGCTAAAAATTGACTGCTGTCCAAAGAAGAGATGAGCGTAGTTACTGAAATCAAGCCCAAAACAGCCGATGATAACGAGGCGGCGCCTGCCTCCATGAATTCTGAAGTCAGTTGTGCAATTTGCCGACCCAAAGAAACACGCTCAAGGCCTATGGTGTTATTTGCACCAGACACTGAGGGCGCTGCGACTTCACGTAAGCTATTAATAAGCACGCCTCGCGCCTCATCATTCTCCAAAATATCGATAAGCGTTTGAGCTTCAGAAGCTATATCTGACTGTTGCGCAAAAACTGGAGCTGCTGATATGAGTGCAAAAATTGCAAAAACTAAGGGGAGAGAAAAATTTTTGAAGTTTACTAAAAAATTTAGAGCTTCTCTCATTTTTATCACGTCGGTTCCTATTTCATCTTTACATTAGGCTGCATGCGCATATGATCCAGCTCAACATGGTGCGGCGCCCAAGCTGAATGCCCCTACCATATACACAAATAATTTTATTTCGTCGATAAGCAATATAAAGATTATCTTATAAATTTACTTTTATTCTCTGAAGCACTTATCTCTATTCTCATTTATCTTATTAAACCATTTACCTTGCAGCCCTTGCGCTTTCCAATTGCAATATCTATCAAAATTTCTGCACACCTATCATATATGCCTTGCATCACCCCTTAAAGACGTCTCTTTGCGCAGACGTAGTCCATATGATTTTTTACAAGCGAATGGCTTTACTTCCGGATTTTGGAAAGGTATCGTTCGCTTTATATTTGTGCAAACGTGTTC